TTGTAAGTCTCTGCTACGTGTATCAAACTCTAAGTGTCTGCTGAATTCCAATTTTTTTGTGTTATACACACACTATATGCCTCTTCTGCCATTTTAAAAATGGATCTTTTTTCCTTTTAATTTGGTTTTCCCATTTTGTATGAAAATGGTATTCCCTTTTTAATTGTTGAAGTAAAAAGATTTTGTTTTAAGTGTTTTAGAAACTAAGAGGTTATAAAATATGAATTGTATGCCTTCTTTGTGCAGGTAGGGCACCAAATAATTGTAAGTTATGCAGAATGCATGGGAGTTCCATTGATCCAAAGGTGAATACAAGGATCCACAAGGCAAGCCCTTTAAATGAGAATTTTGTGGTAAAACACCATTTATCTTTTTTCAGAAAACTTATAGTCCTCCCTTTATACTTTGTTTGTCATTTCATGATAATTAGCTTGTTCTGTACTTTGACTTTTTCCAGAGTTCTGGTTATGGTATTTTCTTCAAGTTTGTTTTAGCTGATACCAAAATTTTAAGCATTCTTATTGAGAACTTTGCAGGCTTCTCTATGTATCTCTTTGTTTGCACATATCATTTAATTGCACAATTCATAAATTTCTCTTTCACTGCATAACATTCAGGGAAACCACATAGAAAATTGATTTCTTAATCCATTTTGTAAGCAGGGCAAATCATGAAGAAATTTTCTTTATATTTGGTAAAAATTAGTTCCAGATAATTCTTTTCACAGATTAGTTAACTTTCAGCTGAGCATCTGCCCTTTAACTTGACAAATGTACAATTTGCACATTCTCTCATTTCAGATTGCAGTCATCAGAAACTTGGCTACCAAATGACACCGGGTGATGAGGTTGAAGATATGTTTGTTTTGTTAAATGAAGAAACAGATGCCTTCTGTCATAGCAGTATCTTCTGGTGCAATTGCATCAGATTATCAAAGGCTACGTGTGGAAAGTGTCTGTTCAAGATTAGAGCTTGTTTCTCTGGCATATTTGTGGAAAAAAGATCAATCATTGCTTCTCCAGGAAATGGTAGTTCTTATTATGTTAACATGAATAATAGTTAATCAGAATTTAGATAGTTTCACATATTATTTTCTTTTTTGCCCGATGCAGATAACAAATGGCATTGTGGCTATTGCAGTCAATGTATGTAGTATCTTTAATTAATTCTTTTTTTTTTATCATTTTACTGTATTTGTTTAGAAACCATGTGATCCCTTTCTGCATGTTCTATATAGATTTATTTTCTTGTTATTTCTTTTATGAGATGCTTCATCATATCTATTTTAATTGAAGTATTGTCTGTTCTTTGAAAATTATGTCATAGGTTGCAGCCATGGGGTTGGACCCTTGCAAAGCACTTGGGCAAAGAAATAGCATTTTTGAAAACTTATCTGCATAAATTGAAGGAGTATGTCAATGCTTTTCTTTCAACTTTCTCTCCCTCTCTCAGATTCATGATATACCATTTTATATTTCAAGTGTGGCTGCAAAATTAGATTTTTCTTTTTTAACTCCCTTTTGGCAGCTTGCATGGAATCAACGTATGTGGTGAGGGAGGGAAGTATGAAACTTTGACTCTTGACCGCCCACTCTTCCATGTAAGATTATCTGTTGACTAGTCTACCGGTGAAAATATTTAACTCCCTTTGTTTCTTTTTAGTAGCTTCTTTTGTTTCTTTCCCAGGATATAACCGATTACAATGTTCTGAAACAAGGTGGCTTTGCAGCCCAATGTATTTAACAAATTCTTTACTTATTGTTTATTCATCATAAGTCATAAGTATTAACATTTAGAATTTTTTAGAATGCTAGAATCATTATTGATGAATTCCAAGTTGTGCTGCACTCTTCTGATTCCAGAGCTCCAGTTGGAGTTCTGCATCCATTGAAATTTCATTTGGAAAGACAGGCATCCAGCTCGTCAAGTGTTTATGACAAAACCAATGATATATGCGGGGAGAATATGAGTTCTGCATATGAAGTGCAAGGTGAAAATCCTCAAGAATGCAAAGCTCCAAGTGAATCCGTTCCTGAAGTTAGTGACTTGGTTGATGTTTCAAGTAATCGGCTTCACATCTTTAAAACAGAAAAAGATAATACAGTTTCTATTTGTTGCCGGTTGCGAGATCCATCAGAACCTTCACTGGGTAAAAGAAAATGAAGCTTTGCAGACTTGCAGTTGCTATCCCATGCAACATCCTCCTTTCTATTTAACCATTGTTTCCAAATACAAAATTACAATTAATCACTGTTTTCGATATTTTTTATTGGTAGGTTTGCAGGAAGATTTGAAGCTGCTCCTTAGGCAAATTGAATTGCAACTTCTAGGATGTGGTTTTGGTTGGGAGCATGTGCTTTATAGTCATCTGTACATATCCGATATGAATCAGTTCACACTGGCAAATGAGACGTGAGATTTATTACCCAGGACAAATGCCCTTTTGGTGTTCCATCACGAAGTACTATTGAACTGCCTTTAATTCAAGCAGGTTTAGGGAGAGCATATATTGAAGTGCTGGTGGCCAATGATCAGAGCAAAAGAGTTTTGCATGTTCAAAGTATTTCATGTTGGGCACCTTGTTGCATTGGACCATATAGCCAGGTACACTGAATCATGAGATTTACTTGCCATCAATCAGTAAAGGTCCCTTTTTGTAACATTTTTCTACTTTATATTTTCAAAGGAATATTGAAATTTGAAGAAAGTATGACAATTAACACATCTTTTCCTTTTAACCGTCAGGCTGATTTTTTTGGGGCTGTGTTTGGATGGGGAATGGCAGGGAGGGAGTGTAAGCACAGTAATGGATTTCTTGATGATAAGAGATTGAATTGCTAGCCACTCAGGAATCCTATATTATAAAGATATGATGCATAGATGTTAAAAGATGACTGGGTTCTTTTGCAGTCGTACCTGATATTTTATGAATGTAGCATTGTTTCTATCACTATGCAGTCTATTCAACTTTTAACTTGTTCAATTTTACTTTTAGGCAACTTTGCATAAAGAGATACTCCACATGTCTGGTCAGTCGGGACTTGATCCACCTACAATGACTCCATGGTGGAGGCTCAACTGCAGAACTTGAACAAGCACTGCAAAACAGTGAGGCAATAGCAAAATGCTTTAACTGCTCAATATCTACTTCTGCTATTCTCTTTGTGGTTTACTGCTCGACAAATATTCCTTTAGACAAGAGACCCAAAATCCATGACAAGCTGGATACATTTGTGAAACAAATTAAGCTGTCTCATTTGGATAAAGGGAGCAAGCCTGAAGTTCTTGATCCTATTTTTCTTTATGTTCTAGTTCCAGATCTGCCGAAAAGGTAAATGGTCCACGTTTCTGTGAACTTTTCAATGAATATTAAGAATGCTGACAAACTGACTTGTAAAAGGAAGTTCTCACCTTTGAAATTCTGTGTTTATTTTTATTACTGCAAGCTTAGTCACTAGAATTGTTTGCTGGATGACCAGTTAAATAAGTAATGGTATGCATTGGATCCAACAGCAGGGCATTCCATCACCTATTTCTTTTGGTATTGCAGAGCACTTGTAGAAGTAAAGCCTATTCTTTATGTCCCAGAGACTACGGAAACAACTGAAGAAACTTTGCATGAACTTTCTGGCATAATGGCACCTAGTTGTTATAGTTTTCAACCTGCAGATTGGCATGATTCATGCATTCAGAAATGTGTCATTCAGGGAAAGATATGTGCAGTGGTATTGTCTATCACAAGTGCAGTTGCCCTGAAGATTTGTTCTGATTCTGCGAATGCTGATTGGAGCAATAGGAATCATCAGAACTCTCTGACAGAGAGCCAAATGAAAAGAATATCTAGATTTTGCATCTATCTTCTCTACAAAATTGTTATCCAAAATTATTTTCTTGGAAAGACACTATGGTAAGTTTCTTAGGCAAGAGCTTCATTTCATTTCCATTGGTTCTAACTAGAGTTATATCCTGTTGTTCTTTGGTTAGAAAAATGCTTCTCAAGATTCATCAAGAAAATTTCATAATGTTATATTTAGTTTCTTGGTTGCTGGAGTTGTCACTTGTGATTCTGTCATTTATTTTATTAACCCTCTCCTTTTATGTGCTATATGCACACCTCCCTGTTGTCATCATAGTTCCTCACATTCATTTCCCCATTTTTCTGCAACAACAACAAGCCAAGCCTTATTTCCCCATTTTTCTAGACTTTGAAAATCTACTTCCCACCAAATCTCCATGTGCCTTTGGAGACATTATCAGGCTTGTTCATGGACGCATTTAAGGAACTTGATCAGATGAGCAGTAGTGCTAAAGTTGGCAGGATGCCCATCTTCAATCTTGTTCCTGTCGTAGCTGCTGGAACATCTGCAGCCTACACTGAAGATATAATCACCTTTGAGCTGTTTGCTCGGAAATCTTGATCCTCCACTTCACATGGCAATCATCTTTTTTCTCCAAGGGATGGATTAGTTATCAAAGCAATTCCTTTCTGAAAGTTGCAAAGGAAGCCCAAAACAGTCACCCCACTGTGCTTAGCTGTTGAAGTGGTAATTCTTTTGGTCAGTTTATATGTAAGATTTCATGACATCGATTTTCTCCCATCATAAGGTACAAATGAGTAGTAATTACTTGCTAGGAGTCTAAAGAATTTGTCTAAGTCAAATTTAAATGTAAATTGCACGTTTTATCAGTATATTCTGATTCAGAATTTCTTGTTTGAGTCAATTATTTTTTATTCAAAGATTGTTTTTCAGAATTCGAAGCTTAATTCAATTAGATCATACAATTATTTTTAATAAGTATCATTTCATATGTTTGGGTTTAGATTCCTGTAACACTTGCAATTCTTTTTTTTTATTTTCAGATTACGGTTTCGTTTGTCAATCAGTATATTATTATTGAGAATTACTTGGATGCCAAAAGATTTGTTAGGGTTTTAGGAAGATACTATTGGTTTGAACACTTTGGTATCCTATTGGAAATTTTCTCTCTCTCTCTCTCTGTCTCTCTCTTTTTTATAGTGAACAATGCATAAGGTTAGCCATTGACAAACAAAAGCCATGAAAGCTCTTCTTATTAAATTAGTAAATCATTGAATAAACTTGATAGAAAAATGGTGCATTTGCTTTGCCTGAAAATAAATAAATAGATAAATGTGGGCACAATTTGTCCAAAAAAAATATGTGGCCACAAATTGTACACCAGAACCAAAAGAAATATATGGATGAAAATGACTGAATAATTTTCCAAATTGGGACAAACAATTTGCATGTGAGATGTCTTCATTTCATTAATTTCCTCACCCATTTAACCAACAAAATTTATTTAAATGATATGAGTCAGGTTTTGTCACCCCAGCATCCTACTAATGTGATTACAGAGCATCCAATCATCATAATGAAAGCCTGACCAAGTTTAATGTTCATATCTGAAATTGAAAAAAAAAAAAAAACTCTAAACTATATCAAATCCTCTAATTTGTCTTAAGGAGACTACAATAGTTTTTGATAGATTTAAAAATTTATTTATTCGTATAATGTAAAATATTAAAATTTATGTATTTATATTATGTTTTATATAAAAAAATTATGTTTAATTTATATATAATTATTGTTATAATTTTAAATCATATTATTTTTATATTTTATTTTTATATCGTATTCGTATAATGTAATCATATCATATTTTAGATTATAAGATTTAATTTTTGGTAAGTATGAGTAGCTTTATAAGGTCCAATGCAGAAGGACAGGTTACTGGCAACTTGCTTAGTTCTGTCTAAAAGTATAATCGAGTCGAGTCGATATAGTAAGAAGTTCGAGTTCGACTCACAACTCGAGATTCAATATTTGACTCGAATTCAATCGAATTTTATTTTTCAAACTCGAGCTCGATTCGTGATCGAATTCGAGCTATTCGAGTTCGCTCAATTAAGCTCGATTAATATGTAAAAATAAGCTCGATTCGTATATTCGACAAGAGTTCAATTATTTATGCTCGCACTCGAACTACGACTCGAAATAATTTATTAATTAAAATAATAAAAATATATTTAAATATAAAAATTCGATTAGGCTCGCGAGCTACTCTAGCTGGATATAAGAATACTCAAATTCGACTCGATCGATAAATCGAGCTATTCAAGCTCGAACTCGACTCGATAATAATCAAATCGAATTCAAGTTTTCTTTGAATCGAACCTGAATAACTTATGAATATTAATATATCATTTACACCCTTAGTTCTGTCCCAGGATTCTTGACAAGAAAAGTTTTTATTGAATATTGGGGTTCTGGTTATGGCTTTATTATCACCTTGGCTTCCACTTTTCATCTCTGTTCCAAGGTCAGAGCATATCATAGGTTTTAATGAAAAATATTGACAAAAAAAATAAATTTTAAATTTTATAAATGAAGTATTTAATTTTTATTAATTTAATTAATTGTCATTAATTTTTTTCTTCCGTAGCTGAATTTCTATGTGTAGTTATAATTTTAAAATCGCACAATATTTATTAATCTATTCTCATAAATATTTTCAAGATCATAATTTATAATCGAATGTTTCAAACAATTTATTAATGATGACTTAAATGAGTATTAATATTATTTTTCATTTTTATTATGAGTTGGATTTTATTATTTTTTAATCCAAAATTAATTATCGTGTTTTTAAATTTTTAATTTTTTTTTATATATTTGAAGTTATTAAAATTTAAATTTGATTATTAAAATAAAAAATTTAATACTTTATCAATCAATCACGTGATTATTTACGTAAAAACTTGATAATTGAACCATCAAATTATATCTCTTTTTTTTTTTTTGTTCATGTTCAAAATGCCCCATTGAGTGTAATGTTAACTTGGTTCAAACCTCTCTCAACATGCATCATAAAAAACAAATAAAACAAAAGGAAAGAAAATGAAAGAAAGGGAAAGAAAGGAATTTATGGCCTTGGATGGGACTAAGGGTGTAATCGAATCGAGTTGAGTCGAATAGTAAGAAGTTTGAGCTCGAGTTTGACTTATAACTCGGGGCTTGATACTCGATTTGAACTCGATCAAGTTTTATTTTTCAAACTCGAGCTTGATTTGTGATCGAATTCGAGCTACTCGAGCTCGCTCGATTAAGCTCGATTAATATGTAAAAATAAGTTCAATTTGTATATTCGATAAGAGTTCGATTATTCATACTCGAACTCAAACTCGGACTCAAAATATTTTATTAATTAAAATAATAAAAATATATTTAAATATAAAAAGCTCGATTAGGCTCGCGAGCTACTCGAATCAGATATAAGAATACTCGAATTCGGCTCGATTGATAAGTCGAGCCACTCGAGCTCGACTCGTTAATAATCGAACCGAATTCGAATTTTTTTCGAATCAAATCCGAATAATTTACAAGTACTAATATATCATTTACGCCCCTAATCAGCACCTCATTGAGAAACTCCATAAGTAGGCCCAAAGAGGGCTTAAATTTTGGGGCATCCTTCTCCTGTCTTTCTATAATCATAATCACGTACAGCTTTAGCTCAGACATTTCAAAGGTATAAATAATACAATATATTCACAAATTATAAGGTTAAACCTAAATAAAAATTGAATTCAATTATATTATTATTAAGTTGAATTCGAGTAACTCAATTTATTAATCGATTTAAATTTGATAATTTGATATTCGATTTGAATAACTCGTAAGTTTAATTTTTTATATATTTTAATATATTGTATTTATTTTAATTAATAAAATATCTTAAATTTTGAGCATAAATAATTAAACTTTTATCATATATAAAAATTAAATTTATTTTTATATGTTAATCGAACGAGTTCGAATAATTTAATTTTTATTTTGAATTGAACTCGAATTATAAAAATTAAATTTGATTTAATTCAAGTCGAATTTTAAACTTCAAATTTCGAATCGAGTTTAAATTTAAATTTAATATTATATCGACTCATAACTCGATTGATTACATTTTTATTATAAACTAACAAATATATATATGTAAGCTTTTTCCCGATAATTCAAAGAAATTTAGGAGTTGCCACTAATTGGACAAATTATAGCTTTTTTTTTTTTTTGTAGTTAAAGCTAAGTTGCCATCATATTCGTAATCAATGGTGACAGTTGCCAATGTACCCTTAAACAGACCATTGTTTCATCAGCCATGAAAATAAGAAAGAGCCATGAAAATGTGAAAGAGACCATTGTTTCATCAGCCATGAAAATGTGAAAGTGACCTTAGAGAGGTAGAGATTTGGATCAGATTTTGAAGCCACACCCCCTCAGGCCCTGTCTTGGGGAAAAGAAAGTGAGAAGTGCCAAGGTTTTCAGTTGTTTCCATGGCCAAAGTAAGGGAGCTTTCACTCTAAGAAAGAAAGAAATAAAATAAAATAAGCATAGGTGCAAAACTACAAAAGGTTTTCGTGACTTTTTGTGAGAAATCACTGTTCATATGGCAAAGGGGGACCAAAGACAGCTTTACGGTCAAAGCATTTGCGTGTCAAGCAAAAGAAATCACCCCACAAGAAAAAAAAATTTGTGGTAGTTGAGAAGCGAAAAAGAGAGGCAATATCCAAACATTTTGAGCTCAAAGCTCACTGGTAGCATTCAAATCATAATAATAATTTATTATTAAATAATTAAAAATTAATAAAAATAGTAATATATTATATAATGTTTTTATTATATAATTCGATATCACATGTATTAAAAATATATGCAATACAATTCGTTGGTTGATTATGAGAATACGAGTATGGGGTTCAAATATGTTAGAAGAGAAGGATCATAAGTTCTAACATGTTCTTTCTCAAAATTTTCCCATTGTTCAATGAACATGCATGATGACAGTCTTGGATCAAGCTCGAAGCATTCTGTTCTACTGGTAACAAGGATTTTAATGTTCAGATCTTTCAAATAAGCTTTTGATCGTGCTTTTTGCTGTAAGTCAAGTTGTATGGAGTAATTGGATTTAGCTGATATCAGGTTTTAAATTATCTGGTTGTTGCATTGATGAATCAACCAAATCATCATGAATAACCATTTTTTGTTAGGATTTCTTATATACTAGTTGCCAACACAAATCATTATGAACATCATACACTCATTTCACTTTCTCCCATATGCTCTTTTGTTTGTTTTTATTGTTTATTTTTTTTATATTTTATTGATTTGAATGTCGAAACGTATTTTAAAATAATATTTTTAACATCTGTGATTATTGTTTTTTTTTTTTTTGGTAAGAATCCATCGAAATATCCAAATCAACCATTTTTTTAATCTTTTGACAAACTCTCAATCATTAAATTAAAAAACACACCGATAAGATTATATATTTTTTATATGATCATTTAAGTTGAAATTAAAAATAAAAAAATACCAACAATTATGTAGCTATTAATAATATATTACTTTTTTAATTGGAATGATCAAATTCTATCTATATAGGATCTTTTGAAGATACTTCCTCATAAAAATTTTGGTAGGGGTAGCAAAGCCTACTACTATAATAATCTTTGACATTTTACTTTGGGGGAACACATTAAGTCATTGATTAGTTCATTAAAAATCAAAAGTTCAATTTCACCTAAAAATGACAATAGATCAGATTGAGTTGGGTAAAAAATTCATCCTTAACTTGATTCGATTTTGTACTCATAATATTTAAATTTGACTTAATATTATATAAATTATATTTAACTTGAATCAATCTAAAATTAATAAAATATTATTTGTTAAATATAAAATATTATTTTTAATATAAATATATATAAAATTAAATAAATAATTAAAAATATATATTTTATGTATATCAAATTAGATTGAGTTAAATTTACGTAAAATTCAATCTCGATTTTTTTTTTTATTATTATTCTACTTCAAACTTAATTTTTTAATTGAGTTGCCTTCTCTGATTCCACCTGGGCAAGTGTTGTGGAAATTTGTTCCATCAGCAACTTCCACAAAGAATAAAACAGCAAGCATCAGGGGAAGTTTATGCCCTGGGATTGGGCCAAGAGACAACTTTATGGATGAAAAATAAAAAAATCATACTTAAGTTTGATTTGCCACACTTAGAGAAGGTAAAAAAAAATGTACCCGATGAATTTTGATTCGATTCGATCTTTTAGGATTGATTTTTTTTAAAAAAAAATGGGTATCGGGTCGGGGTCGGGTCGAATGACATGAAGAAAAAATCGGGATCGGGTTTTAGGCAAACCCGACCCTACCGGACTCGATATATATATAAATAATTTTTTAAATAATTTATTTAATTTTATAATTATTTATATATATTTTTATATATATTTAATTTTATATTTATATTAAAAATAATATTTTATTAATTTCAGATCAGATCAAATTTGATATAATTTTATATAATATCGAATCGAATCGAATTCGAATATAAATAATAATAAAAAATTATCGGATCGAATCGGATTCGGGGCGAACAAAAATCCACCCTGCCCCGACCCGCCATCCCTAGCCACACTTCCTTATCTATTATTTTTTATATAAAAAATCATAATTTAAAAATAAATAAAAAATTATATGTGATAGAATTTAAAATTTAAATTTATTATATGTTATTTATTAAGATAATTATATAAAACAATTCAATTGAACTCTAAATTTTTTATATACATAAAAATTTATTCTTAAAATATTAATTTAATTTATCTTTTTCTCTTTTCTCGTAATCTTTGTATTAAAGTTGATCGCATTAGGAATATATTTTTCATCGATTTTAAAGTCAAGATTTAAGATGAGAACTTTTAAACGAAGTAAATGAAGTTTTTTTATTAAAAAAAATTATTTTAGAAATCAAAGTTGGATTTATATAATTCAATGGAAAATTTTAATAATATAAAAAAATTAATAAAATATTTTTATAATAAAAATTTTATCAATACTTATTTAATTATGAAAACAATATTAAATTTTATAATAAAAATAATTATGCAAAAAAAATATTAAAATTTATTAATTTTTTAAAACTTTAAACACTTAATTTATATAATAAAATATTTTCATTTATTGGTTTTACTTCGTTTCGAATTAAAAAAAAAAAACAAAAAGGAAAAAAGAAATGGTCTTTATTAAGTTGATGCAAGAAGTTTCGTTTGACCAATTCCTTTCGTTGACTTCTCCATTGCTGAATGCTGGTTGGGTCAGCATTCAGCATCGACAGCCATTGGACCTTTGTACTAAACTTCAAGATCTCATTAAAAGAAAAAAAAAAAAGAAAATATTTCTTAAAAGTATCAAATTAATGGGTTTTTAATAAATACTTAATGTGTTAAAGTGTTAAATTTTATTAGAATATCAACTCATGTAATTGCTGAATAAATTATTTTTTGATAATAAATTATTAAAAATTAAAATTTAATTATTAGAATTAAAAATTTAACATTTTATTAATTGATTATACGATATTGATTACCGAATATATTATTTTTTAATAAAACATGCCCCAACTCTTTCTTTTACTCATTATATTAAACAATTATTAATGAAAGTAAATATGAAAGAAAATAGGGGTGAAAAAAAATAATAGATAAAAAATTGATTAAAAAATATAATATTTAATTCGATTTGAATTGAAATTTTTAAAATTTAATTTGAATTAAATTTATATATTAAATTAAAATCGAGTTTTGAATTTAAAAAATTAAAAATTTAAAAAATAAATTAAATTATATATTTTTATTAATTTTTATATATTTTGAATTTTTATAAAATAAAATAATTATTTTATACTCAAATTTATTTAAATATATTAAAGTTTATATTAAAATAATATAAAATAAAAAATTATTAAAAAATTAATGAATCAAATCAAATTAAATTAATAAAATTTGATTTATATCAGATCTTATAAAAATTTAATTTAAATTTAAATAAAATTTTAAAAATTTAATTTAAATTTAAATAAAATTTTAAAAATTTATAATTTATGTATTATCTAAAAATATTGAAGTGAATCCAATTCAAAGCTAGATTATTTATAGATGAGACTAAATTTATTATTTAAAATAATTTTTATTATGTTTTAGTTGTTGCTTAATTATTATAATTTCAATTTGGGAAGGTTTTTCGATTTTGTGAATTTGTACGGGCAAAATAACTGCAGTGAATGGCAGAAATAGTAATTTCACAAAAAAACGAGGGGCAGTTAACGTTTGAAAATGGCAAGAGAATAAAGAAAACAAAAAAGTGAAGAAATGCAGAGAGGAAAGAAATGGAAAGATAGAAAATCAAAGTAGATACATTTTTAGAGAGAGAGAGAGAAACTTCACTCGAAAAGGAAAGATTGTCCAGAAAGGGAGAGAGATCTGAGTTAAGCTGCGAGTTGGGAGGAGTACTGAGTCGACTCGTGGTGCGGCGGCGGGTCACTGTTTCAACGATTAAGATCGCGACCCGTCGGATCCTGTATCTTGAAATTGGCGTTAACCGTCCGATTTAACAGAACCCCTCTCTCTCTCTCTCTGAAGTTTCAACTTTTTGAAGCCAAACTGAAAGGGAAAGCAAAAAATAATCGATCGGGTTGGGTTGTGGATCTTTATTTCGGCGCTGACGCTGCTTCTGCTTCCTCAGGTTTGTCTTTCTTTTTTTAAAAAAATTTGTTTATTTTTTGTTTGGCTTTTTAGAAAATGAGAGAAAATAGATGAGAAGAAAGGAAAATAAATGAATATATTTTTTTGTTGTTTTGAAATATCGATGTTTGGTTTTTTATTTTTGTAAATTTAATAATTTTTATTGGTGTAAAAAAGCAAAAATTTTTATAGTAATATTGGAAATTTTACTTATTGAAGCTCTTTTTTTTTATGTTTTGATTTTTTGGGGATTACATTTACAGATTTGAAGTCTGTGGAAGCTTTAACTTCACTGTAAATGGAAGTGAATATAAAAAAAATAGACAGCAGTTGGGCAATGGTGAAGAATTTACTGCATTGCCAAATTTTTTAGTAGCTTCATTAGTATTGAAGTTGGATAGCAAAGCTTAAAAGCCCTAGTCTTGGTTGTTGTGGAACCTTAGAAGAAATATAATCTTTTATCTTAAAAGTTATTGTTTTGGAGAATTTAAGATAAAGATGGAAGTGAGTTTTTGTTAATTTTTATGTTTTTAATGTTAGGGGGGTATTAGAGATGGAGGAAATCATAGCTTATGAATAGAAATCAAAAGATAGAGTTAAGTATAATGGAGGATCTTTCCAAGTATGATCATAGTCCTGTGCATTTAGCTGTTGCCCACCGTGACTATGCTGGGCTTAGGCATATCGTCTCAACACTCCCTCGGCTTGCCAAGGCTGGTGAGGTTAATACTGAAGCTGAATCTCTTGAGGCTGAGCTCCAGGCTGATGCTGTTTCGGCTGTTATAGATCGTCGTGATGTCCCTGGTAGGGAGACTCCGCTGCATTTAGCAGTGCGGTTGCGAGATCCAATTGCGGCGGAGATATTGATGGCGGCTGGAGCAGATTGGAGTCTTCAGAATGAGCAAGGTTGGAGTGCTTTGCAAGAAGCAGTATGCACAAGGGAAGAGGCAATTACTATGATCATTGCACGACACTACCAGCCACTTGCCTGGGCAAAATGGTGTCGTAGACTTCCCCGGATTGTTGCCTCAGCAGCTCGAATCCATGACTTTTACATGGAGATAACTTTTCATTTTGAAAGCTCAGTCATTCCTTTTATTGGTCGTATTGCACCATCAGACACTTACCGCATTTGGAAGCGGGGTTCAAATCTCCGTGCTGATATGACACTTGCTGGATTTGATGGGTTCCGTATTCAAAGATCAGACCAAACATTTCTCTTTCTAGGGGAAGGGTACACTTCTGAGGATGGGAATCTTTCTCTTCCTCCAGGCTCTTTGATTGCTCTTTCTCATAAGGAAAAAGAAGTTACAAATGCTCTGGAGGGGGCTGGTGCACAACCAACAGAATCAGAAGTTGCTCATGAAGTAGCATTGATGTTTCAAACTAATATGTATAGGCCTGGAATTGATGTCACTCAGGCTGAGCTTGTTCCTCATTTGAATTGGAGGAGACAAGAGAGAAGTGAGATGGTCGGAAATTGGAAGGCTAAAGTTTATGATATGCTTCATGTGACAGTCAGTGTGAAGTCAAGGAGGGTTCCAGGTGCAATGACTGATGAAGAGCTTTTTTCTGTGGATAATGAAGAAAGGATGGCAAATGGTGGTGACAATGATGAATATGATGATGTATTGACAGCTGAGGAAAGGATGCAGTTGAATTCAGCACTTTGTATGGGAAATTCTGATGGTTTTTGTGATGATGGTGAGCATGGAGTCGTTGACTGCCAAGAAAATGGTTCAGGAGGTTCCTATGAAAATTGTGAATCAAATGCTGTTGCCAAGGAGAAGAAGAGCTGGTTTGGCTGGAATAAGAAAGCCTCAAAGAATAGTGATGATGCTGAGGATTCTAAGATTTTGAAGAAGTTCTCAACTTTGGCCCCTGAAGGTAGCAATCAGAGACAAGTTGGTAGTCACAAATCATCTTCTGAATCTACAAAGCAAGATGCTGTGGATGGCAAGAACGGTAAAGAAAAAGGCAGCAAGAAGAAGAAGAAGAAAGGGGGCATTAGTGATGATAAACATGAGACTGAGTACAAGAAGGGTTTGAGACCTGTTTTGTGGTTAACACCAGATTTCCCTTTAAAGACAGAGGAACTCCTGCCTTTACTTGACATATTAGCCAACAAGGTTAAGGCTATAAGGAGACTAAGGGAGCTTTTGACAACTAAACTGCCTTTGGGCACATTTCCAGTCAAGGTAATTTAAGATATATACTCAAAACAATTTTCTGATTTTATGATAAAAATCCAGTTTAGTTTTTAATTGTATGCATAAATCATGCTTTGTTTTTAATGTCAATGCAATTCTCACTATTTTGTTTATTTTTTTATTATTTTTGTGGTTGTAGCATAAGAAGTTATGATAAGAAATACTGAAGTAGAATTAAGGTTTCACAGTTGACTAAGAGTGGTAGTCATGTCTTAAAATGAAAAGGAATCAATATCTTTAGGCAGGAAAAATGATCCTAGGTTAGAGCAAATACTCAAATTGCAATAAAAAATGGTTTGCTGACCTTATTTTACTTGTGTCCCCTGTGATCTAATTGTCTCATTTTCCTCACATTAATGCTAACAAACACAGGAAATGAGTTTATTAGTGGTATCCTTGTTTGTATGGTGTTTTAAATCCAATCTCATTATTAATGATGATTGAAAGTAACTTGAATAAGTGCAGAATTACGGTAGATTGTGAGCTTATTGTTATTTGAGAATCATACTTATGCAATGGTAATGAAAAACTCTTAGGACATACATATCAGATGTCCTTTTTATATTACTAACCGTTTAATATATTGTTTTTGGTTGAAAATCTTAGGAGTGCTTTGGCCATTTCTTACCTGAATCTGTGTTATTGGTGTTAGATTCTGATGATTGAAAAACTTAGAACAGTTTTTGCACGTGGGTGATGGGGAAATTCAAACTCATTTGGCAGGAATATGCTTTGTAACCATCTTTCTTTCTGCTGGATCTACAATATTCGTATGCCTATTGTAATGCATTTGTGCTGATGCTTGCTGACCCTAGCTCAAGTCACTAGATGAAGCTTGGATCTAAGATAGGTATTAGGAGAGTGTATCGGCATTTAATATTTCAAAATGACTGGATGCTTGAGACTACAAAATTATCCTTGAAAGCTAGAGGTGAATATTTTTACTACAAAATTATCCTTGAAAGCTGGAGGTGAATATTTTTAAGGTCTGGAAGTTTAAGTTATGTTGGACCTATAAATGTCAGAAGGAGAAGCCACTTTTAAAATCTATATTTAGGTTTGCCATATTGCTGGAATCTGTCCAGAACCTCTATGGTAAAATATGTATATATGATGTGAACATGACAAATGCTTTGTGCATGATAGGGAGCCAGCAAAATACTTCCTTTGTTGTTGCCAGCACTGTCTTTCTTTTTAACACTCTTCAATTCAAATTAACTCCGAAATGGCCCCAAGGGTATAAGATCTTCGTTTTAAATGTTAGTCAGTAGAAAAAAAATTCCCACCACCTGAAAAAGGGAAAAGATTTTTTTTTCCTGGCTGGCTACTAACATGCTTTCGCCTTATCAGGATTGTTTCTATAAAATATCTTTCTTGAGTCCTCAGTTTTACGTTTTGAATGAATTCACATTAATGTCTTGTTTTCCCTATTCCAGGTTGCCATCCCTATTATCCCAACTATTCGAGTCCTTGTCACCTTCACAAAATTTGAGGAGCTTCAGCCCATTGAGGAGTTCTCAACACCTCTTTCCAGCCCAGCACATTTCCAGGATGCCAAGTCAAAGGAATCAGAGGGTTCAACATCATGGATTTCATGGATGAGAGGGAGTCACGGTGGCCATTCAAGTGATAGTGATAGTCATCGGTATAAGGATGAGGTTGATCCTTTTCACATACCATCCGACTATACCTGGGTTAATGCCAATGAGAAAAAACGTCGGACAAAAGCTAAGAAAGCTAAAAGCAAGAAGCACAAAAGGCCGGCAGGAGCCAAAGGTGGGGATGGAGGCCATCAGGTGAATGAAGAGGTCGATGAATAATTACAGTCCCAGTTGTTTCACCCCTTTGGTTGGCATCTACAAGAGAAAGAGGAGTTAAGGCTCCTCCCTATACGCATCTGACATTTTTCTAATTACACTTTGCAACTTGGGGCAGTTGATTTGCAGAATGATTGGTAGGGGAATCACTTTGATTAAGAAGAGGAACTTTGTCTTCTTCTATTGTTGTATTGTTATGCGATGTGAAATTTGAGATTTCTTTAATAACTTGTTTCATTTCTAATTTTTCTTGGACATCAAATCTTTGTATCTAAGTCCATAGTCATCAAATTTTCATTTTTCTGATTGGTATTCTTTTTCCTGTCATTGTTGGTTCTTTTCTATAACCAGTTTTTTCTTCTACCTTTTGGAAAATGCATAATTAAAGAATATGAAATAATATCACATTTGACGCTATAATATCTATAAGACAATACTTAAATTTTTCATAAACTTAGAATACAAAATGTTAAGTATACAATCAATGGCTAATGGCAAATGGAACTTTTTGTATACAATGGTGTTTGCATGGTTAATGATCATTGTCGGATGTATAAAGTTTCAAACTACCTAGATGGTACATAACTTTTGAAAACGCCAACAATGGCGACAAAATAGAACAAAAACTAGAAAATCCTTTCCATTATTGTGTCGTGCTCGTCATGAAACTCATTGCTCTTTGGTATCTTTAGGCCATCAACCGATTTAGCTGATGAATACTTTGTATAAAAATAAATTAATCCACATCCATCATACCCGGCAAGGATATCACACATCATGAAAGAGCCGCCTTATCTGGTCAATGTCTGCCGGCATTAATGTGACCGGGCAGCGCTTATACTGTGGCAATGAAACACAGCAGAAGTCATATAAGACTCGGGAAAAAAATCTACTCAAAAGTTGAATGGAACTAAAGATGAAGATCATGATGGATGATTTACATAAAGGGAGTCTAGTGAAGTTTCACTTGAGAACGGGACAGATGAAAAAAATGACATGATTAGACTATCTTTACTAAAGGAATTCATACATTCTATCAAGCCCTTTTGGCAAGTTTCCCTGCACATCGTCAGAGGCATATTGTGAAAGAGTTCATTTGGTTCAACAAATAGGGTTTGAAGGCCTTACCTGAGAAACATACTTGTGTATGCAAGCATAACAGAAGACAAACCCTGAAACTGTAACTACTGATGGATTTGCACGCTTCTGCGAGCACAATGGGCAGATTGTTCTATCAGGTGGCAAGGGTATCCCATCCTTGGCAACCTGCATGGATGATAAGTCAAATATTTGATTTTTGAGTGACATAGTGGCGAAAGCTTGCCCTTATTTCTTCTATTTTCTGATTGATATTTGATAAATAGAAACCGCTGCAAAAATCCTCAAATAGTTGCATAATTTATGCCAAATGCAATAAAAAAAATCAATGCCTCCATATCCTTGGTGACATATCCCAGATTAATATCCATCAATATATACATTGAAACATATGTAAATAAGTGCTCATACATAATTCTCCATTTTATTGAAAGAAATATGATACATGTAACAATTAGGACTAGTTTTACGTGCATGTGTATGAAAGCCAGGGTGTGAGGAGATAGAGAGGTGGATTCCTCACCTTTGGGGGTGGTGGTGGTGGAGGTGGGGGATACACAGTTGGAGCTGACATTCTCTCCTCAGCAGATTGATACCACCATTCCATCATCTATGATCATTGCACACAAACTAAGATTATCCATATTGAAAAAGAAATCAAAGCTAATTCCATTACTTTTTCCAAAAATAAAGTCGAACTTCACATGGAAAGACATCAACTGGTTTCAAGAAACAAAAAATAACAAAGAATAATTAACACATGAATATCAACTTTGGAGAGGTAGACAAAACTTTAAGAAGTGTCAGAGTTAATTGATATCAATTATAATCTCAGTTATGCCATCCAGTCTTATGTTATTACTAAGTTGAATTAGAATCCACGAAATTAAATGAAGGTTAAAAGAATAACAAGAAGTTTATGAAAAGTATCTATCAAAGAATATTATGAGTCCATCATGGCATTTACATGATGGTAAGGCCCACTGTTTTGGCCTTAAAAAATGAGAAACTGATTGATTTAGTTTGGCTTGGTCCAGTTATTCTAGATTTTCACTTTGACAACGTAACATCTAATAATTTTTGCATACTTTATGTTTTTCAGGTATAGTTAATAATAATATATAGCATCACTAAACCACAAAGGACAGTAGAATTTATAACTAGTAAATTATACTCACTTTAAAGATGAATACTGCAGCGATTAAACCAGTTTGAGCATAGTCCAGCAGTGCATATGTGCATTTAAGCAATGCTCCTTGTAGTGCCTGCAGGAATTATGTCTAATCAATATGATAAATTTTAACATAACATAATTAGTAGTTAAAGTTAGATAAACAATCTCAATGGTACTAAGCATAATATTCACAAAAATACCTTTAACCATGGAGGGCCCCGAAGCCTCTCACGTTCACGACTTCGAATTTTGGAAATTCTAGAAGAGGTATCCATCTACCTTGACATCAAAATAAGTATACTGAATGTGTGTGCATATATAAAATACAGATAAGAACAGAATGCTGAACAAATAAAATTATATTTGACATTTTTACTGCAACCAAGTGTGCATGTATGTGGACATGTATTGGGCATGGAAAAAGCATGAAGCAACAAAATAGTGCTCCATGGACATTAATGTAATAAAAGATGAAGATTCACAACAGAAATTATTGTTGAATCTAAATACCAATTCTTGTCCTGTTGCTCGACAAACATGAATCCCAAGTGCATGTAATCCAACAGAATAGAACCCAGTAGCGTCCAGCAGATATAAAAGCTGATAAGTAAATGTTAGTCCTGCAGCATAAAACTCAAGATTAGATTAAAGCATGTTACTGGCGATCCAAACAAAGCATGGTCATATAGAGCTAGTGGACATCCAAAGCTCTTCCAAGAAATCATTACAATTATAAATATCATTGCACACTATCAGAAAACCTATATTACGGACATGAAGATTTATACTAGATATGCTTGTAGAACACAAAAGAGAATCCCAAGGTCAGCAACCACCATTTAGCTATTAAATTATTTATAGGTCATCATAACATGTTCCACTTAAGGTTATAGTAGGCCATGAACAATGATTGGATTAACCAATTACCTTCATTCTTGCAAACAGGGATACAAAATGAAAACTTAGATCAGAACCCACCTTCAGTGGTAGCATGTACCCACGGATAGCATGCACCTATAATTTTCTGAATATTCTTTGCCACTCGTGTTCTCATTGTTGCTTCTGTTTCTGTGGATGTTCTTGATGCAAGCGAAGCGTCCCCTTCATCAAAATAGTCAACGTCTTCAAATCTTTCATCCCCAGCACCCCATAAACTTGCTTGAAGCCTGGCTTCCCTTTCTTTGTTATAAATTGAATGCAATTTTGACTTAAAGTATGGCAACACAACCTAGACAGATATATCAAAATCAGAAGTTACTACTGCATCCAGCAAAGGATGTTGGAGGGAAACAGGTGATAGAGTTGGAAATGAGTTAAAACTGTCAGTACACTCAGTAATGCTCTCCAATAAAGAAGAAATTTAGCAGATTACTTGATTATAAGTTTATTAAAACATCTTAATAAGAAAAAAGAAAGTTGCAGAATTCTACCAAAAATACAACTGAAAGAACTCTTTGACGCTTTTCTAGACCAGAATGTTGGATACCATCACTAGATTTTGATCGGATGTCAGCTTGTTTTGTTCTTATTTTTGCTGCTCTCCTCCGCAGGCCATATAGAGACTCGGAAAAAGAAGCATCTGTATAAGAATGGTTTATTGCAAAACAAGTCAAACATACATCTTCAAACCACAAATAACAAAATTAAGATAAATTTATATCTACATACAGCAACCAACATGCAGTGGGCATTATTATAAGCTTTCAAAATAAGAAACTTGTTAGAAATATGTTGAATTCCTTAAGAGCTAATAATAATAGTTTTGCATATGCATGAAATGACCATCCACTGCGACTTCCTTCCTTCAACAAGCTGGTTGGATCTGGGCTTCTAGCTAGGTGTTCATTAATGTTGATATAATTAATGAAGGAAAATTCATTCTATATGCTACAACTAATAGATGGTGGGCTGCAACTCATTTTGATCATGCCAGATCATGGAATGGAGCCTCTAAATTTAAGAATTTCCACAAATCACATTCCAACAATAAGAATGAAATACGTTACCACAAGATTCAGAAAATGTCTCCTAATTTCCTACACCCCTACAACCTTGACATTCAGCATCATCATATGGAAGGGAATAAATTTCATTGGGTGCAGGGAAGGGACAATTATATGGCACATCAAACAATTTTTAATGCATCATCTACTATCATAGATTACATTATTTTTCACACAGGGAAGCAACAAAAACAAATTCATAGTTCACAGACACACACGTGAAGAAAACTATTTCCATAGGTACAATTAAGGCGATGTACAAAAAGTAAGGCGTGAAACCAGAATGAGCATTATAAGTTCAGAGGAAGAACACAAGCAATTTGCTAGAAAACTAAAAAGGGATTAGCCCACATCTGTATTCTAATTCCCCCTTAGACAAGATCAAATTGAACCATGATTTTTCCATAGAGTTGCCTCTATTTACATGAAAGTACAATAGATGAATAGTCATTCGATGATAATCAATTGAATATTTTATTTCCTATCAGAATACACATAATAGATACAACTGCTAGAGTTATATAATGAGTAAATATTGAAGGAAAGGATTCTCCATTGTGAGAAGCTGGAGTATGAGTTCATTAAATTGCTATCTAGAAAGTGGCAATGAGAAATTTAAATGCAATCTGAGCAAAATACCTCAAAAAGAAATTAAACATAATAGTAGAAACTAGAAAATATCAGAGAAGGAAACCTGTAGTTCGTAAGCTATGAGTCTCAAGAACCAACATCAGCAAAGCAAAGAATTCATCTTCATAGTCTAACACCTTATGAAGAAAAGGTCTTCTCAATGCCAATACCTATCAATTTACAAATGAACCTCAAAGTATTTAATCTCAGGCAGCTATAACCACACTAATTGCAGTCATAAAAATATCTAGTAATTAAGCAAGTCCAAAATAGTTCAATAGCAATTAATACTTCCAATGGCAGAATAATCAATCTACAAACTTCATCTTAAAAATAAGAAAAAGAAAAGTACTTTCAATTAAACTGAACATGGTTTCATGGTACTTAAATAAAATAA